CCTCGCCTCCCTGCAAGCCAAACATTTCCAGCTAATTATCTGCACGGTGGACATACTGCTTCCTAGCACCAGGCAGAGAAAACAGCGGGAAGAAGAGCACCTCCAGCCGGGGACCTCAACGTCTGTTGTGTCTCTTTATGTCTTTAAACCCCCGATGGGGGGCGGGGGGATAGGAGGGACCAGGATTGCTGGAACTAAGGCATCTCTCCATTCCACCTTCTCCCTTGACCCCCTGGCCCCCGTTCTGAGAAAACCCCGGCACTCTTTCTTTAAAAAAAATCAACACGTGTATCATTTCATATCTCCAACAAGCTTTGCCCCCCATCTGTGTTCATGCACCAGAGAAAAATACACTTCTAGTTCTTGTGACTCCTTCTTCTTATGCTTTTCTCCATTGTTTCCAATGTTATGTGGTTATACACTACTGTTTCCCGGTTTACAGATTTAGATATTATTTCAGGACTTCTTATTATGGAAGATGAAGACTTAGCTATTTTATACACCCCCAAGTATCTGTCTATAAAGCAAATATTTCTCCTAATCCCCAAGCTTTAGAGTCAGAATCCAGCCACTCAGCACAATGACAGCTGAAGCAGCGACAACACTTGACCGCAGATTCTAGATTAGCCTGCTCTAGAAGTATGTACACATACACACTACAGCTGCGGTCTCCCAAGACCACATCAAAATTATCTTTGTCTATCTATGAAGACGCTAATAACAATTAAAAAAGGATTGCAGACTTTGGCAGCAGTAAGTAAACCACCGGGTTTTAATGGACCCAACCCTAGGGAACAGGATTTGGGAAAATTCTTCATTAAATGGCCATAAACCCCAGAGCTGTTCTAGTTCTATACAGTCTTTTTTTCTACTTCTCTTCTCCCCCCAGCCCCCTTTCCTTGCAGGCTCCGAACCCTCTGGCCTCAGAGTCCTCAACTGTAGGGAGCTTGGAGGAAGTGAGTCCTAAGTTGGGGAGCAAACCAGATCAGCTTATCCACGGAGCTAAACTGTTCCTATCTCAGGCTGACAATGGGCCTCCTCCACAAGATATGCCAAAGCACATGTCTTCTCTGCAAGACAAAAGCACAACAGAGGGAACAGACTTGAGGGTCTTTCCATTCTGTCCCTTTCAAGTCTCCCCAGCCCTGAAATGAAAGAAACTAAAAGCTGTCGGTCAGAGGCATCAACAAGAGTGTGCCAACTCTTAGCAATGCCAAAAAAACTCCTGTTAAACAGAACGCTAACCTTTCTTGTTGTCGTTGCTTTGTATTTTTTGCATTAGTCACCTTCCAAATTTTACCAAATGGCTCGGGCCTCATGCCTGCGTATTTAATGCCAGGCACAGCCTTGCCATGTAGGTATTTGTGTTCACCTGTGCCAGTCACCATAACTGAGGTCCCCATGAGCAGAGGGGGCCGGGACGAGACTGTGTTGCAAGGGGGAGAGAGTTAAGGAAGGGCAAGAAGCCGCAGGAGCAGTCAAAAGCTTCCAGTGAGCGACAATGCTAGGAGCTCAGCTCCCATTTGTAGACTCAGCAGAAAACACAGCTAGAAAAACAGGATACAAAGCTACCAAGCATCCCTCAAAATCACCCAACCTTGCATGGCCCCCCAGGATAACAGTATGGCAAATGAATAAAATATGCAAACCTATGATTGTTACATACTGCATCTGGGGTTCAGACCACCTGTTTCTTGAGCACCTTTAGAGCAAAGCTTTATAGGGTTGCTGAGACTATAGTGGTGAATGTCCTGCTTCTAATTAAAGATTCATTCAGCAAATAAAAAATTTAAACACGGAAAAAGGGCAGGCTTTCAAATGACAAGACAGAAATCATCAACAGAGTGCTTTGGAATTTTAAAGGCGACAAAACAATTGTAATCGACAGGAGGGAGAAATATCAAGACACACGAATGAATCAACAGCCCAAACTCAGAAAACCAGAACAGTTGCTCATTGGGAGTCTCTGCTGGTGGCAGTGGAAGGGAATGGAGAGGCACGGGAACACTGAGGGGGCAGCGGCGTTGGCAAGTGGCCACAGGGTGTGTGCGTGCACATGCCAAGCAGGACACTAATTTTCCTCTGAGGAATTACAGCATGGTTTCACAACCCTGAGGAGTCAGGAGGACAAGCTGGTTTGGGGGATAAGCAGGAGAGCTGGGAAAGTGTGAGCAGGGACAGCCCACGCTTGGTGAGCGCCCAACGGCTCTAGGGGGAGTTGGGGTGTCTCGTCCTCCACTTTATTTCCCAACATATATGCATCAACGTGCTGTCCACAATGTCCTGTGTTCTTTCTAGCTCCAAGGAATCCCCTGAAGCAGAGGGAAGCCCCTGGTTCTAGTGGCAAAGATATACTCCTGGTTCTGTTCTCCCAGAAAACCCTCATAACTCTGGTCCATCCATAAGGTGGTTAGAAGGTCTTCTTGCCATTTATACTCTACCTATAATGAATGAGTTCCAAGTTCTAAATACCTGTCCTATCAATAAAAGTTCTAGAATACAACAAGCTTTGGGAAGCTGTAGACTATAGAGGAATCAATGCAGCCGCTCCCTTCCTGGGCTCCAGCTTTCGGACACCTCACTTACCTGGCCAGGAAGCCCCTGATGACCCTCCCCTGCCTTAACGTCCTTACTTCTGTGGGATGAGTTCCTAACAGTCAAAGGCCTAATGATGAGGCCTGCCCTGGGGAAGGGAGGTGCCATTATTAATAGGCCCTTGTTTGTAAACAAATGCAATGAAGGCAAACAGACATCAGGGCCTGCCTGGAACACAATTAAGGGGAGCGCCTTTTCTGATGAGTTCCACTGAGTGTCTGGAAAGAGCCCTGACGTTTCCACACTTCCTTTTGGGCATTCGGCTCTACCCTAGAGCAACAAGCCGAGCCCCTGTGGGTTGAAGGACAAAACCGGGAGGGACGCTGGCTTCCATCACCCCTTTCCCTCCTGCCCTCTCACGATTCTGTAAGTCACTTCTGGCAGGTAGCTGGGAAGCAGCTGTGCGTGACAGTTTTGCTCTGGGGCACAGGAAGCCACCTTTTAACCCGCCTGCTGGTGTTTGTCTCTTGAAAAACGTGACAAAGGAACAGATGTAAGCAACATGCCAACTGTTGAGACGATCTGCTCGGAGCACTATAGGAAGCCTGTTCAGAGCCACATCATACCAGCCGCTCAATGGAGAGCCGACTGAATTCACTTCCTGACACCCCTACGCACGCTCTGTTCACATCACGCTAGGATCCGCAGCCCTTGGGCGGCTCGCCGCGCACATCCCTGCTTCTGCCTTCGCCCCGTGCTGCCCAGCTTTGAAGCCCCTTCCTGAGCGGGGCTCAAAGGCCACTGAGGAAGAGGTCAGCCTCACCTCCTAGAGGTCTTCTCTGACCCCCAGACCCCTCCCTGTAGAGGACCCTGGACTAGAACACTTTACACACTCAGTGCCCTTCCCCAAGCCTTCCACAGGTCAAGCCAAACCGTCCTGCTTTCTCCATGACAGCTCGAGGTATGGTTTACCCACCTCTGTATTCCCAAAGTAGAGTTTTTCAAGTCACTGGTTCCATGGTGAGTGCACTGGGAAAACACGTTTAAGGGGCTACAGCCAATATTTAAAAATATGAAATAAAAACAGCTTATGAAAGATACTCTTGGGATAGGTCAGAAACTAGTGGAGAACTATTAGATGATTATTACAAAATTCCTATTAATTTTCCTAGGTATAGTAATGATACTGTGCTTTGTAAGAGAACGCCTTATTTCTAGGAGATGCATGCTGCAGTATTAAAAGAATTAAAGCACTGAGGTGACTTACTTTCAACTGGATCGGCAAAAACCAAAACCAAAACCAAAACCACATGTGTACACGCATTCACACATGCACAGATAAAGCGAACGGGGGAAAAATGTTTTAACTGCTGAATCTAGGTTTTCACTGTGTTCTTTCAATTTTCCTGCGGTGCTTTAAAGGTCTCGTAATAAAAAGTGGGAGAAAATGAAACGGAAGAGGAAAAAAATCAGAGTGCAGAACATGAAGTTAAGATGGGCGCCTGGGTGGCTCAGTTGGTTAAGCGACTGCCTTCAGCTCAGGTCATGATCCTGGAGTCCTGGGATCGAGTCCCGCATCGGGCTCCCTGCTCAGCGGGAAGTCTGCTTCTCCCTCTGACTCTCCCCCTCTCATGCTCTCTCTCTCTCAAATAAATAAATAAATCTTAAAAAAAAAAAAAAAAAAAGATCTGGTTTCAGGTGTCTAAGGATGTGTGTGTTGCGTAGGTTACAATGTAAATGTATTTCTTACTGTGGGTCAAGGCCAAGAGTTTGAAAAGGCTGCCCTACGGCTTCCTCCTCGCTGCACCAAGCACCCCACAGGCTTGCAGTGGACTATTAGTTAATTAACTTCTAGAAGCACAGGACTTCAATGAAGAAGCAAGCTGAGAAATCATTTGGTCTCCAGTTATATCCCATTAACTCAAGCTGTGTCGAACTATCCAAGCCCCTTCCTGCCTTCCCATACATGGGCCTCACCTCCAATCAGCCTTCAGGCCTTTCTTATCAGATGTTTAATTACTCATCAGAAAGGCTATTCTGGCTCCCCCACCCCCACCCGGATGCCAGGGAGGGGTCAGCAGAAGACTCTGAGTTGGGTGACCAAGGGTCCCAGTTTGCCCCGGCTTGACGTGTCTTGCAGACTTTGCAGACTAGTGACTCTTGGTGTTAAAATTAGGACAGTCCCAGGCAAGCCAGATAGTTGGTCACCCTGGATCTGAGGGAAGATGTATGAGAACCTTGGACATATCGGGGAGAGAGGATGCAGTTGCGCCCTGTGGCCAATGGTACCACGGCAACATGGGCAGACCCAGTAGAGCAAAAGTGACAAGACGGAGCTCTCCCGCATGGCATTCCAACAGCGACAGCAAATGCCAAACTGCGGAGTGTCTCTCACACCCTTAAACAGAACCTCTCTCCGATTATTCACCAACTAATCCGGAAAGCAAAGGGCAAAGGGAACTTACTGTAAAAACATCATCATCGCCAAGCTCAGCTTCATTATGGATGGTGGAAGATGAAGTGGTTGAGCCTAAAAAGATAAAAAAAAGTAATAAGACGCATTTCCAAAGATGATACGTCAAAGCCAGTCATTTAAAAAACATATTTTAATAAAACCACATTCCATTCCTTTCGAATGTGAGTTATCAGTAGAAATACGTAACCTGGAAATTAAGTGTTTTTAACTTTCTCCTCTTTAATTGACTCTAGCTAGGATGTTCCCTAAAGTAAATCTGCCTACTGTTGTTCTCAATCCCTCAAACTTCTGGCCTGGCCACTAGAGAACAAGCACCCAGAGAGCCACCTCAGAGGGGACAGGGGGCCCTGCCCACTGCTTGGAAGCATGCACACCACGACCAGCCTCTGCCAGTGGTGACCCAGGGGAGACCCGCCACAGTCTCCGTGTAAACAGGACTTACTTTCTGGTCTTTTCATCTGCCAACAAGAGGGTTTGACTAAATAGCTTGTAGGGTCACCTCTTGTTCTGAAATGTAGACACTGGACTCAAAAACCCAGCCTGGGGGAGCTGCATTCCAAGCGGACACCACGCAAAGAGGTTTTCTCTTGCAATGTTGGGGCACCAGTGAGGTTTTGGTTTCTGCAGGCCAAAATTTGGGCTCATGCCTGAAAACCCAGTTTATTCCATCATGGAATGATTTGGGCGTTTCGGGTTTGATTTATTTACGTGTTCATCTTTTCTTCATTCTGGTATGTAAATCCACATAACATCCTCCTTTTCCCCTAACAGTACCTGATACTGTGTGGACCAACTTGATGGACACTGTTAATGGCCAAAAGGAAAAACATACTTAAATCTGCATATGTGATAAGTATACCAACAGGGAAATTTCTTCTTTATCTTCTTTTCTTGGTTAGGTCTTTAAAAATGTGCATTCAGAAAATATTTTGCTATTCCATAAAACTGAAATTAAAAGAACTGCTCAGAAAGGAATGAGAACTATTTAAATTTCTAACAAGGGATTGTAGGAGAAAAAAGAAGTCCTCTGCTCAATTACTACTGATCTTTCAGGAGTGTCCTTTACTAGTTTAATTTTTCTAGTCAATTGATGTTTGAGGAAAATTTGACAGAAAACAGCCAGGTAGAGTATATACAGAGAAAAATATTACAAGTAAGAGAGTCAAATTTGTGTGTAGCTTCAGTGAATACGTGGACATACTGCACAATTCTATCAATAATATAGGAGCTATTTTCTCTGTAAACATTTAGAAGCTATGTTTAATAACATTCTAAACATCTGCCACTTTATGTCAGACCCCTAATGTGAACACTGGTGTTTACTACCTTTTTGGCCATCACATGGTTGGGGTGAACAGACTCATGATCTAGCTAGAACTGTCTTACTACTGACGTTGAGGGAGTTTTCTCTGTAAGATTTGCTTTTTGCTCTCCCCCCAAATCCACAAAGAAGAATATTACTTCAGAACACTTTAATTCTTAAACAAATGCAGCCCACGTTCTTTTGTAATTAATCTCCCCAAATTCTGAATTGGGCTTTCACGTGCCTTGCTTGAGTCTTTCTCTCTTCACAGGGCCCAGGCCATGGCACCTTTAACTCTGAATGAATAACTGAATGTGTTGAAGTCAAGAACTTGTGTGTTTGCATGTGTGGACTCTAGAAAAGCCCATGAGAACTGACTGCGCAAGAGTCTTCCAGGCCACAATCACATGCAATACAGTGTCTATTACCCACTCTCCCACAGACTTGCGGCCTAACCCGAACCAGGGCTCCAGGAGTCACAGATCCCCTTCCTTTTCAGAGCAGACAAACACCCTGGGCTTGCATTACAGGAAGGCAGTGGGAAGGCCTGGCACCTTCTGGGCCCATTAGAATCCACTCTCCCTTTCTAAGCCAACACGGATCAGACCAAAGCCATTTCAATAGTCAGGGGAAGGTGAAATTTGTCAAAAAGTCACTGACATGGAAGTCCAGAACTTACCTTTTCGGAACAGAGCCTAAAAATCAACTGGGATCACCCTTTACTCTGAAACCCATCTCCTTCTCCCCTGTATTGTCACTTGGAAATTGTTCTTAGTGGCTGTTCCTGAAGTTTTGGCATCTACTGACCTAGCCCCCAGGCCTCCCCCCAGTAAACCATAAATATAGGATGGCAGACAACTGGAATAAAAAAGACCTCGGAACATTCCCATTGTTCACCTAAGAATGCAATGACAAAATTTGGTACCTTCTATAAGGTCTTCGATTGCTTTCCTCACTCCCCTGTCAAAGGCTCGAGCATCAGCAGGGCTTTGGAAAGTAAGTCCAAATTTCCTATTGTCGACCTTCCAATGATGAAAGGTTGGGTTGGCTTTGGTGTAGACCAAGTCCTTTCTTACAAAGCATTCCAATACCACCTGAAGGATTGAAACACACAGGCTGGTTACTTGTGAAGGAGTTGTGATGGTGTCTGGTTACCAAAAATCCAACTAGGAACCATCCATCATTGCTGGCAACTAATGAAAACCTTCCATCCCTGCCTTCTCCTATCTATGAGTCTCTCTATCTTGAAAGAAGCCTTTGCTTTCCTTGTGGACCATCTGCTCTTTGTTGACCCCGCCCTGTTCGCCTTTGGTGATCCTCACTGTACTTTCTAGCCATCCTGGTTCTCAGTTATTTTAATTCCTCCCACCCCTCACTGGGGCGGGGTGGGGGTGGGGGGAGGTTGGTTACTACACTGAGGGCCCAGGTCTTGGGGCTCTTGCTCTGTTTCAGATTTACTGCTTCTATGTCAGGGCCTTTGTTTTAATGGCTCTCAATCTTCCCTCCTCTGTCCTGATGGGTGTTTCCCAGTGACCTCACATGCAACATGCTGAAAAAATTAACCTGTTCTGAACTTTCTGCCAACTTCCTGTATCTAGCAATGCTGACCCTTCCCTGTTCACGTTCTCCAGCTCAAAATCTCTGTGGTTGTCTCTGTCTCTTCTGCTTTCCCTATCTCCTGTATTATTGACCATCAGGTCCACTTCATTTTTACTATAACATCTTCTAGATCAACCTCATTTCAGTTGCCCCCACCGTGATCTATTAAACTTCTATCTGAATTATTCAAACAATCTCCAAGTTTCTGGTGATGTAGGCCCAGAAATGCCTTTTACTAAGCTGTGACTTGGAGTTGATTGTTACAGACCCTTGATCATTTTATCTTTAAAATGGAAATAACACAGACACCAACATGCTTGGAAAACACTGAACTAGAAACTTAACAGGGTCACACTCATTTCCCAGGATATTCCCACCATCACATTTTACTCTTTTATTTACTCCAGTTCTTCCTGTGACCTTCACAATTTGGTACTTGATTTCACAGATTTTCTAACAGTTTCATGTGCATTAGCCTTGTGCCCCTAACCAAGCTGCAGAAGATCAATATGTATTACAAAATAACTGCATAGCCAGCACAGTGCTGTTGTTGATAAAGATACCAGGGTTTAAGATTATACAAAGAAGCACTGCCAATCATGTGAATGTAAACGTCATTCTTCATTCATAAAAAACTCCAAAATAGCGACAATATTTATTCCTACGGCTTCATTAGGTACACCAAGATGATTTTGCGAAGTTTAATAGCTTCGATCTTGTTCTGGCAAAGCTCCACATTTAACAAAATAAGATCTTATTAATTTTAGACTAAGCGAAGGGCAAGATTAGTATAATCTGCCTAAATTTTAGAGAATAACTTTAAATGCATACAAGTTTCAAGAGTACATCTAAGCAAACATAAATTAAGTGCTGCCTAATAAATGGTCTCTGACTTAATAAGTATATGAATATAATAGTCACATTGGTATATCAAATGGAGGTCCCCAGCAGTTCACTTTATCCCATTGTATTGAAAGAAGGCAACGGTCCCCTCACACAGTTCTATTTATGGTTTAATTGCTTATTATGGCCATTTTTCTCTAAGAATAGTACAATGATTAAATGTCAGCCCAGCCCCATTCCAAATTGGGGAAATCCAAATAACCAAGGCTTTAACCAACAAATGTTATCTATTTTAGAATTTAATAGTCTCAATTCAAAGTCTCAAAATAAACTTTTTTGTAAAAACAAAGACTTCCAGTTTCTCCATATTTTTTTTAAAGCAAACTCTACCCCAACGTGGGGCTTGAACTCATGACCCTGAGATCTAGAGTTTTATGCTCTACAGATTGAACCAGTCAGGCGCCCCCTCCATGTTTTTAGGGTAAAAAAAGAATTAGTCTTTGGTCAATGTTTTCCAAGTTTAAGATCCTCCAGTGGCAAATTTTCTTAGGGAAGTTATAAAATTCTTAGAAAAGTTCAGCCACCTAAAATAAGTGAGGGGAAGGGGATCAGGTACCATCACTTTATGTCCCGTTAAACAAAATAACATCATTACATATCTAAGTTTAATGACAAAAATGAAAAAGTTCAGGTGTTTTCAACCTCACAGGTGTAAACCCTCTAGTGAAGTTTGGTATTAACTTCAAACTTGAGGAAGTCTTTAAAAAGATTATCTTTTTAAATGACATGCATGGGGAGAAAAAAAGGTGATTAAATATTGTCATTGGAAGCTTTAAAAGAATCTACACAAGAAATACATATTGTCAAAGATTTAAGTAATCTACACAAATACACGAAGGCTCCATTCTGGCTCCTCTCTCCTTCCGCACCCTCAATGCTTCTCCACTTCCAGAGTCAGCCACTGTCAGGATGGGGGACACAGAGCCAGGTCCCTTCCTGCGGCTTCTTTATATACGCACCTAAGCTTGTGAGTGTTTTTAAATGTGGCCACATCTATAACTGGCTCCGCAACTTGCCTTTTATTTTCCTTGAGAACACGTCTTAGAGAGAGATACAGGAAAGAAGTTTTGTTTCATGGCTCAGTAGGGATATGTTAGGATTACTCAGCCATTTTCCACACTAATGGGCATTCAGGTTCTTTTTTTTTTTTTTTTAAGATTTTATTTATTTATTTGACAGAGAGAGACACACAGAGAGAGGGAACACAAGCAGAGGGAGTGGGAGAGGGAGAAGCAGGCTTCCCGTGGAGCGGGGAGCCTGATGTGGGGCTCGATCCCAGGATCTTGGGATCATGACCTGAGCTGAAGGCAGACGCTTAACGACTGAGCCACCCAGGCGCCCCCAGGTTATTTTTAATCAGTCGCTTTTAGCAATGGTGCTGGAATGAACATCTTGATACATGTTCTCAAATTTTGTTCTGTGAGCTCTTGGGAGCCCTCCCTCTCTACCCCCTCCTCACTTCAGAGGGTCCAGGATGGCAAAACTATTTTCACATAGGGGCGCCTGGGTGGCTCAGTCAGTTAGGCAGCTGCCTTCGGCTCAGGTCATGATCTCAGGGTCCTGGGATCAAGTCCCAAGTCCGGTTCTCTGCTCAGTGGGGAGTCTGCTTCTCCCTCTCTCTTTGTCCCTCCCCTCTCTTGCTCACTCTCTCTCTCTCTCATGAATAAATAAAATCTTAAAAAAAAAAAAACTATCTCACATAGTAAGACAGTTTTTGCCATTTCTGGTGAGGGGGCCAAAGGCACAGTGAGTAAAACCTGTGTGCCATGCATGTAGGCAAGCAACAGCACCAAACTCGACGCAAATCACCAGATTCATCACTGCCGCTCGGGCCAAGTGGAAAAGGCCAGTTTTATGTCGGATTGTCCTTGATGAAGCAGTTAACAAGTATTAAGTCTTGACCCTTGAACACACGCTCTTATCCTGTGTGGTGAAATGGGAAGCACACATAATTGGATTCTCAGATCTGCTTCTGCCTTCAAGCTGCTGTAATCCGTTGCTCTGGCTGAAGTGTATGAAGAAAGGTGGGCTTTGCACAAACGCTCAGATGGAAGGGGAGGGGCACATCTAGCAGCCTGTTCACTTCTGCTGCATATGGATGAACGACTTGTGCAACTGCTTTAGTTATGACTTGAACGAACTGCCTTTCCCAGGGATCACCAGGTTTACTTGAAAGAACAACCGACAGATGAACGATGGTTATTCAGACACAGGATTTGGCAGATACTTTCTTGAAAATGGACACAGCCAGCCTGTCACTTCAAGGAAAACAACTGGAGGTATTTGTTGCCAATAATAAAATCTGAACTTTCCAGTGAAATCAGAATTTTGGACAGCTTCCCAATACTTAACAACTTTTCTAATGATGTTAAGAAATGTGATTTTTTGGTACTGCAAAATTAAATGCATCAACATTTAGAAGATCCGCTGAACTCAGTAAACCATTATTTTTTAAATGACATGATGTTAAAAAATCAGGAACGAGTAAAAGGTCCACTCAAAGTGAAAGATAAAGCAGTAGATTTTAATGTAACAGGGTATGAAAAGTTCATTAATGTGGATTCGGATCGCACATTTCAGAAACTACTATAAGCTGAGTTTTAGTGGGGTATTCAAGTACATTTACAATTACCTGAAAAGGCTACTGATATTTTTCTCCCTTTTTGAACTACTTATCTGTGTGAAGCTGGATTTTCCTCATACACTTCAACCAAAACAACAAACAGCAACAGCTTGAAAGGAGGAGTAGACATTAGAATCCAGCTATGTTCTATTAAGCCAGAGATTCGCAAAAATATAAAGCAATGCTACTCTTTTCTCCAATTATTTTTATTTTGGAAAATAGTTATATAGTAACTTGTCATAAATAGTTTAAATTTCAGTTTTAATTTCTAATACGGTAAAAAATAAGTAGCTATAACTCATAAAACAAAATCCTTCTGGGGTCCTCAATTTTAGATTGTACAGGGATTCTGAGACCAAAAATGTTTGAGAACCATTGCTTTCTTTAAATCTTTGTGTGCAAGTCTATCACTATAGGATGGGGTTTAAATATGAAACTGCCAGGTTAAAAAGTATGTACACTTAAAATGAACATCCTGCCAAATTGCTGTTCAAAGAGCTTCAGCAGCTGGAACTCCCACCAAGCGTGTATGTATGCTCACAGACCTGCACATGTACAACAAATGGAATGACTAGCCTTTTAGAGTATGGGGTTCATCTTCGTAGGTGGTTTCTCATGGGATTTAAGGAGTAAACTTCTCTAGTTTATCTAAAATGATTCAACTCAGACATTTTACATTTACATATAATTTCTCAGGAAAACTTAATTGTCCCCAACTTAAAAAAAAATTATCCAAATAACGATTTCTGAATGGATGTCTGGAATAGGCTTTCCCCACAGAAACAACAGTAGCTCTGTTCACAGGCTTCAACATATAATTCAAATAATAACAAGAACCAATGTGTTAAATTCTAGAACTGCACTACATTGGAAAAACTAGTGATAACACTGTTTCTATCAGAAAAAGCATTTCTTGTCCTAGTTGTAATACTAGCAACTCTGATACTATCCATCAAAAATGATCTCCACCCTCTCCTCACCATTCCACCATTTAGAGTGGGTCCTTCAACAACCTACCCTATCTGCAGGCTCCCATGTGGGTTCATACCCTCCAGTGGGGCAAAAGTGCTGTGTTATGGAAGCTTGGAGGCCAAAGGAGGAGTCACCACATCTCCAAAGGGTGTGTGTGTGTGTATTGTGGGACAGGGTGGGGGGATCAGGGTTAAGTACCACAGAGTAGAAGAGTCCAGAATTTCCCAGAGTACAAGGGGTGGAGAGATGGAGAAACACAACTGGGTGTGTGATTTCAGTTCAAGGGCATATAAAAGTCTAGAAGTGTAGAGTCACAGAATATAGAGGGGACAGGAAGAGAAACCGAGTGACTGAGAAACATGACGGGGGGAGGCGGGGGAACACGACGAGGGAACGAGGCACACAATCCTTGTGCAATAGCAACAAATAACAGAAGCTGGTCCACAACCAGGACTGCCCTAGTACCTTGCAGAGTTAGTGTGAGGGGACCAGGTTTTGGCCTCACAATGAAACGGTTTCCAATGCTGGCTCTGCTAATGACCACGTGCCTAGATCGAGGAAATGGATCACTCCTTAGAGCACTGAGTTTTCCCAATGCAAGGTGGAGATAAAAGTATCTTCCTCCTTCCGAATGTTGCAGGAATTTAACTGAGGTTATTTACATAAAGGGCCCTGACCAAAATGGTAAAAGTTTACAATTATTATGTATAAGTCAGTGGTAAGACACAAGTTTATAAATACATTTCTAAAATGAAGGGGCTGGATGAGACCATCTAAAGGCAATGTTAGGTTGACATAGTCTATGACAAACTATGAAAATACCAAGAAAAAAGAGATCTAAAAAGATTTAACTGCCCAGGCAAGAGATAATTTGCTAGCACAAAAGTAATAATAAAAACAAAAAGGGAACAAGTGAAAAAAAATTCTATCAAAATTTTTGCTAGAAAAAGAACACTAACTAAAACAAAAAGGTAAGCAACAAATTTTAAGGGTATTTGCAGTAAATAAGGCAGATGAAGATTAGTATCTTTCTTATATAAGAGGGCATGCATGGCAAGGAGAAAAATAAGGCCCCCAATAGATAAATAAACAAAGAACATTGACAGATAATTCACAGTTACAGCTGTTTAACAAACAAAAACACTGATGCCGTTAGCACTCGATAACATGATACCACTGTTACTCTGTCAAATTGGTAGTGACTTAAAATACATGAACCTCCCATGTGTTAAAGGAAATTCTCATACACACTGGTAGCAGTTCTTTGTACAAGAATCCAAAGTCATAAAAATCTGACCCCCTGAATTATTCCAAGAAAATAGTAAATGTGGAAAATGAAGGTAGGTCATTATGGGGGGGGGGGGGGGAGGAAGGAACCTTAATATTTATAATAACCCTAAGGAGATCATCAAATAAACAATGTTACATCAACTTGAAACCAGCAGTGTGGAAAATTTCTTATGAGAATGTTAAGGCAAAGCAACTGAGATACAAAATTGTTGACAAGCTCTGGTCAGAGCTATGCAAAAATAAAAATATGCACATGGGGGAAAAAACTACACCAAAGGGCTAACAGCAGTTGCACACATGTGACTTTGGCTCAGTTTTAGGGTCAGAGTGACAGGGTTTCACATACTGGTTCCAGGCCCTCAAGATGGGTCACTGAGAACAAGGAGTCTTTCTGAATCTTCCTTTTTTCAGTTATAATTACATAGGCTACTGTAAGGACACAGTGATGTGACCTAACTAAAGGGCTAGCAGTTTTTTTAGCACGTGGTAGGCATTAGCTGAATGGTAGTTTTTTTGCTTTTTATTGGTCGCGTGGTTACATTGCCTTTATTGTGATTATCTTGTAAGTAAGAATGTTTTGATTATTTGACTAATACATAGGGAGTTTCCTGAATGGACACCCTTCTTAAAATGAGCTATGTTCTCTCCCTTTAAACTTCCATTCATTGCATTTTTGGAAATGAATCAAGTGTGAAAATAGCATTTCTGTTAATCTACATATAACATTTACAAATTGTTCTGTCTTATCTGTTTGGTAACTTTTTTAAACAGTAAGAAGTGGTTGCAAAGGAAGATTAAATTTGTACATTTAACTCCTAAAACTCAACATGTGACACGCTTGCTGTTAAGAGTCTCAAATGTAACACTGACATTTCCTGTGGTGTCTTTATATTTTCTCTGTTGAGATTCAATATGATCCTGCACATTTTGAACCAACAGTTGGCTTTTCAGTACATGGACAGATAGGAGCGATGTTCTTCTAGGTTCAAGGCCACCAATTAAAAATAGGTTGGAACATTCAATTTTTCTTCATATCATAGATTCGTTCCTAACTCAGAACTGGACATCCAAGTTCCTTCCTGGAACTATATGTTACGAACTACCAATGCTCCACTCATAAAAGAATAATGATCACTCTCCAAAGTACATATTTAATAAGCATGCAGAATTATTATAGACGTGGGATGCCACTACTTTTTCCAAACATGTTTTATTCATTAGTGTCTGAAACAAAAGCCACAGTATCTTTCAGATAAACAGTATTTACAAGTAACCATAAGTCAGGTGACATTCTGCTTTTGCATTTGACCTTTTACCATCCAAACCTTGATAGCATGCTCCATGAACAAACACTACATTTTTAAAGACCCCGACTTCGAAGCTCACTACCGTGTGATTCATAACAAAGCACACACTTTTGTTTTGAGTATCTTGTTACAGTGACAAAAAGACAGCTTAGTTAATCAAAGACGCCAACAAGAGAGCCAAATACACGACTTCTAAGCACCTGCGGTATATGGCGTGTGGTAAAAAGTGCCTTTGCTGGGAAGCCAGGGTTACGTGTTGCATTTGGCATCAGCTCCCGGGTTCTAACTTCTTAAGTTTTCACGACAGTTTGAAGTCAGAGAAATAAGGGGAGGGAAAAACAACAACAATAACCCAACCTATGAGAAGAGGGCTTACGATTAAACAATAAAGAAATGGGGTGTTGCTGATTTAACCTGTGGGTTGCATGTCTGCCATTACCAGTTTGTCTTTCTGCCGTTCACCATGGATGAGAAAGCCGCTGCGTCCGTTGCCTTCGGGGTGCATAACCTTACAGACCCCCACGCGACTGATCCCGCCTCCTTCCTGTGGGAACCATCCCCCGCTGGAGTCATCTCTGGTCATAACCACGGCCTTGACACGCACAATATAGCTGTCACTAGAACGACAACAACAAGAAGAACGGGGCATGACAATGGTCTGGTAGCTGCAGGACACGTTTCACAATTCAAGATGACCACTGGCTGGCACTTTTCTGGAGTCATCAAAAGAAAATCTAGGTCTGGCGGCAACCTTAAAAGGTGACCCTTTCTCGGGGCGTCTGGGTGGCTCAGTCGTTAAGCGTCTGCCTTCAGCTCAGGTCATGATCCCAGGATCCTGGCATTGAGCCCCGCATCAGGCTCCCTGCTCCACGGGAAGCCTGCTTCTCCTTCTCCCACTCCCCCTGCTTGTGTTCCTGCTCTAGCTGTGTCTCTCTCTGTCAAATAAATCAATAAAATCTTAAAAAAAAAAAAAAAAAGGTGACCCTTCTCAAATTTGAGGGGAAAAAACCCCAAAAAACACTTCAACTAAATACCTTGCCAAAGTACATTTTTAAAAAGATACCCAGTAAATTTAAAGATGTTTGTGAGTCTTTGAAGATGTATGCAGGCATAATGTTCTCTAGTTTCTGGGTTTAAGTATTAATAACAAAATGAATGAGCTAAATGCTGTAATTTGTTATCCCTAAGTTAGGAAAGTCAAACCTATGAACTTAAGGGGATATTACAATTTCAACCCTTAAAACTTAGTTCGCAATGAATGACCTAGGCTTAACATTTTATAAAGCTAATCATCTTCTGATTTAGCACAAGAACAGGATAATTTCCTTCCAAATCACAAATTCACCATGCAATCGCGTATGTAGGTGGGAAAAGATTTCAGTTCCAATACCCTTTACGCATGTGTAGCCTTCTGTTTATGATTTTATTTTTTCCAGGCTAAACTTCAATTTCGCAATAACTTCTTTTGCACATTTGCCAAAAATCCTCTTTCTTCTCCAGAGACCAACTCTAGCTCTTGTCATTCTCTTCATCACTTTTGGGGAAACATATTTGGGTTTTTCAGCAAGGCCATTTAAATTCTCATTTGCTGTTTTCTTTCTTTGGATAGAATTCATTTTTTACTCATTCAAACGTATATTCGCATCTTCTACATGCCAGGCACTGTGCCAGATTCTAGAGAAACAAAGATGTAGAGTAACATAGAACCCCCTCTTTCCTTGGGACTCAGGGAAGACCTCTCCTTCCCCCTATGCCAGCCAGAGCCCGGCCACTGCCATGTCCAGTCCACCAGAGACCCTTTAGACAGTCCCTCTCCTCTACACCCTTGCTCACCGCACTCACCCAGATTTCCCATGACTGCCTGTGGCTCAACTTCTACTCCCCTCCACCATGCCCCCCTGGCTCCCTTACTTCCTTGTCCCCTCCTCAGACTAGTCCTTTCATTTTGAAAACTGGTAAAATATATATGTGATAACATGTACCATTTTAACTGTACAATTCTGTGGCATTAAGTACATGGACACTGCTCTACAACTCTCACCACCATCCATCTCCAGGACTTTTTTCATATCCCAGACCGAAACTCCATACCCATTAGACATTTTTAAACCCCCCACTGTTCTCCCCTCTGCCCAGCCCCTGCAATCACCCTTCTACTTTCTGTCTCAATGATTTTGACTGCTCCAGGGACCTCACAGACGTTCCTTTCACTTTCTGAACCTACATGGAAATGTGCTCTGGGGCTGAGCTTCTGGGGCCCATTGACACAAGGCCGCTCTCTCTGTCCAGCCGCTCTCCTTGCTGAGGCTTGATGTGGGGCATGCTAGTCACCTCTGCCGCAGGCTACTGGTGCATGCCCTGGTTTCTCTGAAGCTCCCAAGTCTGACCATGCCACCACTACCCTCCTCTTCAATCTTCTACAGACCTCTGGGCCGCATCCCTTCCCTCATTCCTAGAAGACGGTGGCAGATGGGCCCACTGTCCCTCCATCTCTCCACCACGATCCCTGCTGTGATTCTTGGTAATTTCCTTATTCACACAGAAGTTCTGTACAATACCTTGGCCTCTCAGTTTCTGGAACTCTTCCCCAATGCCCTTGTCTTACCCCCAACCTTAGGTACCCCAGCCTAGGTCACACCCATGACCTTGTCATTACTAACATCTGCACCACCTCCGTAACCTCAGTTTTGAGCAGCGTGCTCTCCAGCTGCCTCTTGCCAAATTTGTGGCTCACTCCCTCCACATTCCTACAAGTCTTCACCCCACTGGGACCAACCATCTATTGCTCTGACCCCCTTCCCCCGAACCTTCATGTTCTCCCTTGATTCAGTACTCAAGTTCCAGAGTCTGTCACGACACGCTTTTGTACAAAAACGTAACATGTTGCCCTCTCTTTCTTCACTGTAATGCCCGGTGAAACCCCAACCCTGGTGAAATTCTACCACCTCCTTAACTCCATGCCCTACCCAGGCTGTTGAATAGGACTTTGTTCAAAGGTCTGGTTTTAAAGTCACTAACCTCAAGTGGGCTTCTAGGTGCCCCCCAGCATGCTGCCACATTTCCCTAATCTGTCCCCAAGAAGATTATTTCATGGGCCCACCTACCTTGTCCCTCTCAGTGGATGGAGGAATTGCTTTAATTTCCCTGGGAAGACAGGCAAAGTCAGGAGGGACCTTGCACCCATGCCCACTAGCATGCCTATGACTCTGTACTAGTACTCTTGGCCTCTCCTCCTTTAACTGTGGCTAAACCATCCATAACCCAAGCCAGGGCCAACAACTCCACTTAAAATTCTTCTAGGTGCTAACAGTGCCCAAATTCACATGTCTACCCAGACCTCTTCCCTGAGCTTCAGATCAGTAAAATCAACTACCTATGTGATTTCTCTCCTTGGGCATCTGGTAGGCATATCTCAATCAACATGTTTCAGATTGAACTCTTAATTGTCAATACTTTTTTATCCTACTGGTTCTCCCTTTGAAATATAGCCAGAATCCACTTTTTACCACCTCCATCAACACTGCCCTGATCCCAGTCACCATCACCTCTCAGACTACTGCAACCTCCTCCTAACTGGCCTTCCTACTTCCACACCCACCCAACTTTCTAAGAAAATAGAAAGGTGAGTCAGAATATGATACTCTACTAAAATAAGACACCCAGTAAGCTTCCTACATTACTCTGAGTAAAAATGAAACTCAAGCACTTATCACTCTCCTCCTTGCTCATTCTACTTTAGTCCCATTCCCCCTGTCCTCCACATTAAGCACACTATGACTTCAGGGCTTTTGCATTTGCTATCCCCCCCCCCCACTCCGCCCTTCTCCCCCCACACTAACTCAGCTCATTTCCTTATTTCCTCCAGGTCTCTGCCCAAGGTTATTTCATCAGAGAAGATTCTCTGTCCACTTTATATAAAGTAGTACCCTCCAATCCTCTTAAATCTTCTCATCCTTATCTTTCTACATGCTACTGAAACAACATCTGCCCTACTTGTTTGCCCACTTTTTCCAACTAGATTGTAAACTCCATAGAACCAAGGCCTTTGCTCTTTTTGTTCACTGCTACATCCCTAGAACCTACAGCAGTGTTTTTTATGTGGTAGGCTGTGGAATGAAAGGTGTTTTTTTTTTTTTTTTAAATATTGTATTTATTTACTTAGTGAGAGCAAGTGAGAGAGAGAGAGCATGAGCAGGGGGAGGGGCAGAGGGAGGGGGAGAAGCAGACTCCCCGCTAAGCAGGGAGCCTGATGCAGGGCTCGACCCCAGGACCCTGAGATCATGACCTGAGCTGAAGGCAGGCGCCCAACCGACTGAGCCACCCAGGCGCCCCAATGAATGGGTTAAATGCATGAAATTTATAAACAGGTTTTAAAAAAGTTATTTGTAGCTAACAAAATCTCTGAGAAAAAATGAAGTGTTCAATACTCATTTGCTTATGAGCCACAATAGCTTAGTTGGGATAGGATAAAGATTTCATTAATAAGAAAACTAAATTTAATAATCACATGGTTTCTTTCATTAATCCATTCATCTCATGATTCAAATCCATTTTCCTTTAGATCACAGAGATTAGGAACATTTGGTAACATTTGTTTAGATTAGTTACATACAGACAAGTTGAGAATATACTTTTCCCAGCCATGTCTCATTCATTCTAGAAAAACTAAGGGTTCTCAGGATTTGTAACTCTTCAGGATGAAACACACAGCTTTCTCAGACCTTCTGTTAGTGTACGATGGGTTCATCCCAACAGGAAATGGCCAAGGTGAATAACTGAAACTCTACACACCTCTTGTTAGAACATGCTTTTTACTTTTTTTGTGTTGCAGCTGTCTGCCGTTCTCCATTCCTTTGAGGGGATTAAGTAAACACGAAAAAGGGAAGTTTGCATGACTTATGTTGATGCCATAAACTTACTTCCAAAAAGTATTTATTGGAGATTTAAAAAAATACCCCACTCCTTGGCTCTTAGACTACAGGGGCTGCTAATTTGGGTCTTTGCTTGCAGCCTGCCGCATCGTCGATCTTGCCCTAATTCCTCCTATGCTGTTTCCAAAGAGCACTGACTCCTCTCTGTCATGGGGTGTGTGTGTTGTGGGCAGGGGAACAGAATCCCCCCACCCCATCCTCTGGCAACAGCCCCATCAGCCAGCATTCACTGAGGCCTCTGGCTATTTAAAACAAGGCAGGGGGATAAAGGGTTGCACTGAAAGCTGTGAAGGATGTCTGGATAATCCAGCTGCATGGCCACAGGCCAACTGCTTCCTATCTGTGGTGTATTTATGTTACTCAGGCACTTCACCCCGCCCAGAACAGAAACGACAGTGAACTCTACTACCAAAAAGGTATACGGGAGGAAAACTCCCTCCCCACCTTCCCTCTGTCTCTTTCTGGAAAGAATTTAAACAACATGTTTAAGCCAGATGTTGGGTTTGTTTGGGGGAGGATGGGACAGGAAGGGCAAGGGCAGATTAGTTTTTTAATTTGCACAAGGAAAATGGTGCTGGTATGCTTCAGAAGAAATTCAAAAAATGCTATTATTGTCAAAAATAACAAAACTTAAAAAAATGCTTCTGCAAGCAGCAACTGCTAAACGGGTGTAACTCATTAGGACC